ACCCGAAAGGACTTATGTAACTTTATTTTTGAAGATATATCAATGTATAAAAATCAGTTGCTGTCCGTCTTGCTAAACTCGGAAACGGCTTTAATCATTTTGATTTTTTGTGTGCATTTAAGTGGGTCCCTGGATGGTTTAGATTCACAATTGGACTTTAAGGTGGTGGTGTTGGTAAGATCCAGCAATCACCCGTGGGAAGCCGAGGCGGATCGCTAGTATTATATAAAAATTATATATCCATGCATATAAATAAAATTGAAGTGTCTGTGTGTAATGTCAAAATAACAGCTTTTTACTAAATGCACGTAAAAAGTATACTAACACGTTTAAGTACGTTACTTATGACAAGAAAAAAAAAACAATATTTCAAATTTTTGTCTGTTTGTTCCGGCTAATCTCCAAAATGGCTTGACTGATTCTGATGGGACTTTCACTGGCAGATATCTGATGTTAGAAGCAATAACTTAGGCAAATTTTATTTTAGAAAAAGAATTAGGGCTCCGCGCAAAAAGAAGTGGCATGAAGTCCAAGACCAATAAATTCACGCGGATGAAATTGCAGGGAACAGCTGGTTTTATAACATAAGCAAGGTTTGATTAATAAAAAGTGAAATATCTATCGCAAGCCTTTATTTTTAAATATAATGAATAATCAAATCTTATCTTCAACATTATTTTTACAACATCATTAACAAAAGTTACCTTGTAGTGACGCTGTAAGACACCCACTACTCCATATGGTCCCCATAGAAGGAAACTAAAACGTGAATCTTCTTGGTAGCTCAAGGTAATAAAAAAACTGCGGTTTAGTTGTAGAATTTTATAGGCTTAAATGGAAGGAAGGATTTACAGGATAATAAGCATGCATGTATTTTCACATGTACGAGACATAAATCGAGCTACTAACGTTAATATTAAAACAAAAGATTTGTTTATTTTGCTTGAAAAAAAAATATATTCAGCAAGGATTCTATATGATTCATGGTATCTTTTGCTTGTAATATCACTAAGGCAACCCAATAATAATAAAATATATTCATGAAAGTTGAACATTTCTCAGCAGTGTAAAGAAGCTGATAATGTCGACTTCAGTGGTTTTTGTTACCGTCAGTTTTGTTACCGCTACCTTTCTCAAGAGAAACTCCTCTTTCTCAAAAAAAGTGTGTGGTGAGACTTAAGATATAATTTTTCGTTTTACCTCAGTGTTATGAGGACAAGTAATATTTTTCAATTTTAATGATTTCATAACTATAGACAGTCCAACTTGACAAATCGGTACTCTAGTAATACTTATTACTGTCGGTACTTTTTTTATTTAAGTAACAAACAAAGGATATGTTTAAAATTGGATACTTGACATCGTTCGTAACAGTTATAAAAACATGTGGGTAGTATAACAATAAATTATAAGCATAATTATATGATTGTCATTTCTGTAATGTATGGGACAATCATAAAAACATTCTTTAAAACTGAAAAATGAAAGCTAATGCATTTACCTTAGCATAAACAAAACGTTTTTAAATCCTTTTATGTATTTTGTATATCGAATTAGATAATGAAGGCTATTTTTTATAATAAACAGCTTTCAGTGTCAAAAAACTCACAATATTGAAACATTGAAGCAAGTCTGTAGAGATTAGTACTGAATAAAAGAAATCTATTTAAAAGATCGATTGAATAGGCTACGTTATTAAACTATACAAAATATTTGAATAATATCGGACATGATTAAATAGGCTGTATGGTCGTCGGAGACTTAACTTAGTAACTTCGAGTTTAAACTTGTCATGCGCATTCTCTGACTAGTATACAGTTATCTTTGATTCGCATTTGGATTCTGCTGTCAGAGTGATTGGTTGTTACACGTTTTTTTTCTACTGAAATAAGTTTTTAATTCTTTTTCGATTTAAATTTGCGTAAACTCTCTCAATTTTCTTTGTGTTGTCTGTGTGTGTTCTGTTTGTTAGTTGGTGAGTATTATTTGTTTAGATAGTTGATGTAGATCTTTGTGACGACGATGGATGTTGGCGGGGGAGATGCTGAACCACCGGATTTATGTGGTGATTCTAACTCTGTCAAACGTAAACTTACGGATCCTTTACCCAGCTTCCCAAAGAAAAAAATAGGGCACGAAGATCACCCTTCGGCCTCCTACCAAAATACATTCGTCCATCCTGAATTCCAAGAGAAAAGAAGTATGTAGATAGCGGTAAAGGCCCCTTCGTTATTCATTTAAGTTGATCAGAACCTGATCCATGAGCAGGTTATACAATTAGACCTGTGAAAATTGGCCATATCCTCTCACAAAATAAAGTAGCCAATATTGAAAAACAGGGCATCAAAATCTTAGGGCGTAATAGATTTTCAATTGCTTTTAAAACAGCTACTGATGCTAATAATTTTATTGACTCTGAGTTTCTTTCGAAATATAAACTTTCTGCTGTCATTCCAATCTTTAATGTTACTCGTATGGGTGTCATTAGAGGTATCCCAACTGACATCTCTATCGAGGAATTAGTTTGTGAATCTGAGCTCCCTCCTGGCAGAGGGGAAATCATTTAAGCCAGAAGACTTAATAGAAAGGTCAAGAAGGGCGATGAAGTAGAGTGGGTCCCTACTCAAACTGTTGTCCTAATATTCTCTGGACAAGTGCTCCCCTCCCATACATACTGCTTTTATGCATCAATTCCTGTAGAGACTTACCTTCTCCCTACCATCTAGTGTCTAAAGTGCTGCCGTTTCGGTCATGTCAAAGCGCAATGTCGATCCAAACCACGCTGTTTTAAATGCAGCAAAGAGCATACTGGAGAAAATTGTCCCACAGATTCCCCAACCTGTCTTTTCTGCTCTGCAAATCATTCGGCCATTGAAAAAAGTTGCCCTGAACACTCAAGGCAAAAAGCTATCAATATAGTAATGTCGCAAGAGAATGTGTCATACCTTGAAGCTTCTGCTCGTTTCCCAGCTGTCAGAAGTCCTTATTCTGATGTTGCATCCTCACAAGTTCCTGCAAGCCATCTCCCCTCTACTCAGGCTCCTATAAACCTTCCTACTTTCCATCTCCTTCCCAATCCTATAGGAAAACCATCTATAAAACCAAATCTATCCCAGTGCAATCTTCAGTAGGTTATGATAAAGTTTCACATTATAACATTACAAGTACTCCGTCCTCATCTCTTCCCAATGGACATGCACTACAAAACAATGTAATATCCTCTCATAACAATCTTCTAGAAAATCTTGTGGCCTCCTTTACAGATATTGTTGGCAAATTTGATGATTCCCATTTACCGTTCAACGTGAAAAATAAACTAGATATCCTCTTCTCCAGAATATATAAGGTTCGAGTCCCTAACCCTCCTCCAGTGGAATTGTCGGAGTATCAGGAATTAGAAACCTGATATAATTCACTTAATCAACTCTTATAATCCTTCAATTCTTACAATATCGGAAACCTGGCTTAAGCCAGGGTCCCCATTTAGAATCCCAGGCTTCTCCTGTTATCGTAGTGATAGGAGTGACGGCTATGGCGGTGCTCTGATCCTACTAAACAGGACCATTCCTTTATCACCTATCCAGCTTCCTCCTATACTAGGCAATATTAATGCAGTAGCTGTTAAAGCTCTGGACATCACAATTCTATCCATCTACATTCCATCACCCACTCCTTCTTGTATTCCAGAACTCAATTTAATCCTATCAAGCATCTCCCTACCTTACATTGTTCTAGGAGACTTCAACAGCCATCACGTTATGTGGGGTTCCCATAAAACTGACTCTTTTTCTTATTTGCTACTTGATGTCTTCAATGAATTTAATTTTTGTCTTCTAAATTATGGTTCTCCTACCAGAATGTCCTACCCTTCGCAGAATACTAGATCCGTAGTAGATATTATGAAAACTCTTCCTTCCTATTTTGGTAGTGATCACTTTCCCATCCTCTTAAACCTAAGTAATAGATGTGTCCCTGCTCGAAGTATATCTCCTCTTTTCAAATTCAACCTGTCTGAAGCTGATTGGGACGTATTTTCCTCAGAATCAGAACTTCATATCAATAACCTTCCCCCAGTTTCTTTAAATAACTTTCAGAGTGTCTAGTCCCAATTTATAACCCTTCTGAATAATATAGCCAGCAAAATTTTCCCTTTGAAGAATTCCTCCACAAAAAAATTTCTTCACCTCCAGGGTGGGATGCAGACTGCTCCTCAATTATTAGAAAACGAAAGGCTGCAGAAAGTCTATATTCCTCTAACATGACCATGGAAAATTTTCTAGACTATCAAAAAATTGCTGCTCAGACCAAAATACTTCTCTCCGAAAAGAAAAAAAAAAGGATGGTTTTCATTCTGTGAGAGCTTATCTCCCCGATCACCTTCTTCTCTTGTTTGGAAAAGTATCAGACGCTTCCGTGATGCTTTAAATTATAGTAATCCCCCTTGTGCAGATCCAGAAGGAGTCACTGGACTTCAGTAACAGACTGGCTCCCCCCTGGGTTCCATTGGAAGAAGAGATATTTCCTAACTCTAAATCATTCCCTCCTCATCCATCTAACTCTCTTAATAACCTTAATGAACCATTTTCAATAGCTGAACTGCAGTTAGTACTTAGGCACCTAAAGGATTCCACTCCTGGCATTGATGGTATTACTACCTACTCATTTTTAGTTAATATGGGTACTAAGTGTAAGCAGTTCTTTTTAAACATGATTAACTTTGCTTTTACAACCGGTTCCATTCCTCATAATTGGAAAACCCATATTAATATACCCATTCTAAAATCTGGTAAAGACCCTTCTTCATCATCAAGTTATCGCCCTATTGCTATTTCATCAACCTTGTCTAAAATTGGTGGGTACTTGTGTACGACTATGTATAAGTATAATTGTCATAGTTAAGAAAGAAATCAGTGTGTTACTTGCAAGCAGTAGTTTCACTCGTGCCCCCTATAACGCATACTTACCAGTGGCGACGAATACCCACATATAATTTTTTTAAAATGGCCACAACGCAGTTCGGAATTTTATCAATTTTGGACCACAATGTGCAGTCATGGAATACGTACAAAGGCCGCCTCATGCAGTGGTTCATTGCAAATAATATTACTTCTGCAACTGATGTACGAGGGGAAAAAAGAAGAGCGATACTCCTGAGCGCACTCTCTGACGGTACATACCAACTAGCGTCAGATCTTGCACTGCCTAAGGAAGTCCAAGAGGTGCCATTTGAGGATATCTTGAACATCCTGGATAGACATTTTACACCAAAGCGTCACGGGTTTAGTAAAAGAAGTACGTTTTACTCGGCAAAGCAACATCCAGGCGAATCACATGTTCAGTGGGCCGCAAGGCTTCGTGGGTTGACAGCTCACTGCTCATTCAGCAATGTAGAAGAAGCATTACGGGATAGATTTGTAATGGGGATGTTGCCGGGACCCGAGCGCGAGAAGTTGTTCGCTCAGGAACTGGCAGAGTTATCTTTGACAAAGGCAGTCGAACTGGCAGAGACGGTACGGTGCGCGCGCATCGCCGCATCCACCTCCGCCTCAGGATATGCAGCAGCGGTGCTCCCTGACATCAAAGAAGATCAGCTTCTTAAGATCACTGAAGGTGCACCCAATTCCAGACGAGTGGAAAAGTGTTCCGTGTGTGGACGTTCTAACCACAGTTCAGCAAAGTGTCGGTTTGCACAGTATAAGTGTAAAAAGTGTAATAAAAAAAGTCACTTACAAAAAATGTGTAAATTGAATTACGTTGAAGTTAAGGAGGTGGATGAGAGCGGGGACGACGGTAAGTTGTTTAACGTACATTCTAGGAATGGAGAACCCATAATTGAGCTGGTGACAATTAATGGCATTCCGTTAAAATTTGAAATAGATAGTGGGTCGGCGGTGTCGGTAATATCTAAAGACACATACGATTTATATTTTAATAGCATTCCCTTGCAGCGAAGTGCTAAAAAATTGACATCTTATACCGGTAACAATATTAATTCCGCAGGACTAATAAGGGTGCCGGTAATATACTCGGGGCAAACGGCCGAACTTAATGTTTACGTAGTGCCCGGCGGCGGACCGCCGTTATTGGGTCGTGATTTTATGTCGACTTTTAAAATTAAATTAGTTAAGTGTAATTTTGTATCGAATACGGAAAACATTATGCTGAAATTTCAACAACAATATCCTGAAGTGTTTTCCGATAATCTTGGTGCATTCAATAAATATAAAGTAAAGTTACAATTAAAACCAAATTCACAGCCTATTTTTTTAAAGCACGGCCAGTAGCTTTTTCACTTAAAAATAAAATAGACGAAGAGATCGACAGATTAGTAGATTTAGGGATTTTAAAACCCGTGGAATATTCCGAATACGCCTCTCCTATAGTACCGGTATTAAAACGAAACGGTACTGTACGACTTTGTGCCGATTATTCAGTAAGTATTAACAAGCAGTTAATAGTGGAACAATATCCATTGCCGTCAATAAACGAGTTATTTGCGAAATTACACGGCGGACAACAATTTTCCAAAATAGACTTGTCGATGGCGTATAACCAATTTATTTTGGACGACGATTCACAAAAAATCACATGTGTCAACACTCATCGCGGGTTATATAAATATACGCGCATGGTGTTCGGACTTTCCTCTGCGCCGTCGATTTTCCAACGTGCGATGGATTGTGTACTGTCGGGGTTAGATGGAGTGCTATGCCTTTTAGACGATATTTTAATCACAGGAAAAAATGATACCGAGCATCTCGAGAGGTTACACGCGGTGTTTAATAGGCTAAGGGATGCAGGCCTAGTAGTACAAAAAGAAAAATGTATATGTATGTAATCTTTCAAGAAGAAGTAAATTACTTAGGATACACTTTTGATAAATACGGGTTAAAAAAGTCACATGAGAAGGTATAAGCAATTGTAAAAGCACCGGTTCCAACTAACACAAATAAACTGCAGTCGTTTTTAGGGTTGGTTAACTAATATAGAAATTTCGTAAAAAATGCATCTAGCATTCTAAGTCCGCTATACGATCTTTCGTCCGGTCTCAGTGGTGTTGGTCGCGTGTACGTGCGTGTAAGTGTTTAGCGTCCGAGACAGTCCTAGTGCATTTTAACCCTAATAATAAAATAATTTTAACTGTCGACGCTTCCCCGACTGGGTTAGGAGCGGTGTTATCACAGGTAGACAGCGACGGAGTTGAGAGACCTATTTCTTTTGCATCGCGCACTTTAAATACCTCAGAAAAAAGGTACTCTCAAATCCAGAAGGAGGCAACTGCAATTATTTTTGGTGTGAGACGTTTCCATCAATATTTATATGGAAGATCGGAACCATTTATTTTACGCACTGACCACAAACCACTCATAACTATATTCGGTCCTTACAAAGGTATCCTGGAGGTGTCTGCGAATAGGCTACAAAGGTATGCGTTATTTCTTAGTGGCTACAATTATCGCATACAATACATCCGTAGCGTAGACAATTGTGCGGACTATTTATCGCGAGCAAGCTTGCCCGATATCACGGGGGACGCGGGGAGCAGTGTGAACAGCGACGGCTCAAGCATACACATAGGCGCTGACACACTCAACCGCGCGTCTTACATTAACTTTGTCACAGATGGTAGCCTTCCTGTGACACGTAAAATATTACGTGACGTCACGAGTATGGATAACGTTCTAAATAAAGTAAAAAAATATGTGATGGACGGGTGGCCTAGAAAGCTGTATGATATAAACATAAAACCTTACTTTTTATGTAAAACACAGTTATCTTTTGAAGATGGATGCTTAATGCGAGGGCACAAAATAGTTTTGCCTGAGCGGTTGCGGTTTAAGATTCTGTCCGAGTTACACAATTCCCATCTTGGTGTGGTAAAAACAAAAGCGGAAGCTCGGTCTAGGTTTTGGTTCCCGGGTATTGATACAGCCATAGAAAAAATGATCGGTTCATGCAAAATATGCACCCAGCTGCGTCATTCCCCACCACGAACGCCTATATCACCATGTAAATATCCTCAATTACCATTTTATAGGATCCATATGGACTTCTTAGGACCGTTTCATGGTCAGATGTACTTAGTAATTGTGGACGCTTATACAAAATGGGTGGAAGTATACGAAGTACCGTCTACTTCGTCGTCTGTGATCGAAAAACTCTACGAGTATATATCGAGATTCGGATTACCTCAAACTATCGTGACCGACAACGCAGCTACATTTACTTCATACGAGTTTAAAAATTTCTGTATGGTTTACGGTATCACACATGTAACATCACCGCCGTATCACCCCGCTAGTAACGGTCAGGCTGAAGGGTACGTTAAAATAGTGAAAAAGAGGTTAAAATCATGTTTACTTTCAATTAATAACAATAATAAAAAAGAATATAAATTAAAATTACTTAAATTCTTATTCGATTATTGGAACTCCTTACATAGCACAACTTCTTTGTCACCTGCTCAATTAGTTTTCGGTCACAAGTTGAGATCACATTTGGACTTAATGAGCCATGTTATACCGCCTTCATCCACATCCTTGGAAAATAAAGTCCAAAACAAACAGTATTTGCAGATTAAGGCACATGGGGGAAAATATGCGAAGCCTTTTGAAACCGGGGCAAAGGTTTTGTATAAAAAATTTAAAAATAATAACACATATAATTGGTGTCGTGGCGTTGTAATAAAAAGAATAGGCAAAGTCACGTATATAATAAAGGATATATATACGTCAGCAAGTGTAAAAAAGCACAAAAATCAAATCATGCGTGACCAAGGACCATGTCACGATGAACAACAAAATTTCGACATTGATTTTGACCGTCAAAATTTAACTGATAACACCAGGAAAGAAAATATCACTATGCCGGCTTCAGACGAGCCGCAAACTACCTGCGGGGAAGAGAAATTGGTGCAAAATGACGTAAACTCAACTAACGTAAACAATAAGTCTAACATATCGTCGGAGCCAGTTTCAATGGACACTGTGGTTAATCAGCCTATGGCCACCATTGCACGTAACAACCCCGGTTCTAGGGTTTGTTTACGCCCATTACCCAAGGTGGACTATCGTCGTTTCCTTTAATTAAGTTGTGTAGTTGTTAACTAGGGGGAGGAAATGGTGGGTACTTGTGTACGACTACGTATAAGTATAATTGTCATAGTTAAGAAAGAAATCAGTGTGTTACTTGCAAGCAGTAGTTTCACTCGTGCCCCCTATAACGCATACTTACCAAAAATCATGGAGCACCTCGTAAAAAATCGACTTGAGTGGATTCTTGAAAATAGAGGCATTATACCAAAGAGCCAATTTGGTTTTAGAAAAGGTTTTAGCACAATGGATAGCCTTAGCATCTTAGTATCCGATATAAGACTTGCCTTTTCCAATAACAATTTTCTGGTAGGCGTTTTTATTGATGATTGTGCGGCATATGATAATGTTGTTCTCCCACTGCTCAGGCAAAAAATGCATCAGCTGAACATTCCTGAGAGAATAACAAGTTTTGTATCAAACTTACTTTCACATAGACGCATATTAGTCCGTTCTGAAGGGAGATTTTTACCAGCTAGATTTACCTGGAAGGGACTACCACAAGGCTCTGTCTTGAGTCCTTTGTTATACAGTCTCTACACTCATGATCTAGACAGATCTGTGAATTACTTAGGTAATGTCCTGCAATATGCAGGTGACATAGCCTTGTTTGTAACTGATGCCTCTACTGCCAAAGCTACCTCCCGTTTATCCCAAGCTGTCAACTATCTTAATAACTGGCTGTTTGAGCATGGCCTAACTATATCTCCTTTGAAATGCAGTACTGTGGTTTTCTCTAGGCGAAGGCAAATACCAGAAGTGTCCATATATATTGAAAATACCCTAATCCCCACTGAAAATCAGGTGAAATTTCTAGGAGTTATTCTGGATAACAAAATGACAGGAATTCCTCATCTATCATATATTGCTTCCAAATGTGAAAAAAATCTCAATGTAATCCGATCCCTGTCAGGAGCCTGGTGGGGTTCCCACCCCTAATCCCAAAAGATTTTATACAATGCTCTTATTAGAAGTCATTTTGACTATGGCTGCTTTTTACTGGAACCATGTAGCAAAATGGCTCTTAATACCTTGGACAAAATTCAGTCAAAATGTCTACGTATAATAACAGGTGCCATGAAATCTACTCCCATTTCTGCTCTACAAGTTGAATGTGTGGAGCCCCCCTTATTTCTACGTAGACAATATCACGCAGATAGGTTTCTGTTCAAAGCTGCTTGTTATTCACACCATCCTGTCCTCTCCAAACTTCGTTCCTTGTTTCAGTTGGTAAGGGACTCTCCATATTGGTCCCACAAGGATTTGCCATGTATTATAAAAAGTTATATTAGTCAATGTTCACTATCCTGTTTATCAATCCCATAGCAATCCACTTTTCAATATCCCATACGAGGCTCTAATTTTCAACCCAGACATTATTCTAAATTTCGGAATAGATAAGAATACTATTGAAGTAAATAACAAATTAAATATGCTCCTCCTCCAAAATTGGCATGATTGGTTAATTATGTACACTGATGCTTCAAAGTTAAGTGACGAGGGATTAGTTGGGTCCACAGTCTGGATCCCCAAATACAAGATTATTTTAAATTTTAACTCTCCGCCTGACTCATCTGTATTCACAGGTAAGTCTTTAGCTATTTTAGAGGCAGTCTTATATGCGGAATCTCACAATCTGGAAAGGACTCTCATCTTCTCAGACTCCCTCAGTTGCCTTCAAAGCATTGCATCCAGTCCTTTTCACTCTAAGATAAGATACCCCCTAATTTTAAATATTAGAAAGTCTCTGTTCAACTGTCATAAAAAAGGGCTGAAAATTGTTTTGGCTTGGATCCCTAGCCACTGCGGGATTCAGGGTAATGAAACTGCGAATCATTTAGCTAAAGAAGCCACCAAATCTGGCTCCCTCCCTAAACAATGCCTCTATGCATATGATCTCCTACCAAAGGCTGGATCCATCCTTCTGCCTTCAGTCTAAACTTTTAAAATGTAAACACTATTCTAAAGTCCAAATTAATATCCCATCAAAACCCTGGTTCTTTCAATATCGTCACTTTAATAAATCAATCACCTCTACTGTTTGTCAACTTCGCTTTGGACATGCTTGTACTCCGGTACACTTGGCTAAACTAAGGATTAGGGATAGCTCAATATGTGAATGTGGGCTAGACGAAGGATCCGTAAGCCGTCTGTTCTTTGAGTGTCCTAACCTTTCTCACTTTCTCTATGAT